CCCCTTTCTTTTCTTATTCTTTTCTTCTTCCTCTTTTTTCTTTCTTTTCTTCTTTTCTCCCTTCCGTCCCGCCACCCTCTCTTCTTCTTCTTTTTTTTCTTCTTCTCTCTTTTCTTCTTCCTACCCCTTCTGTTTTTGTCCAGCCACCTTCTTCTTCTTCTCTGCAGGATCTTTTTCTTCTTCCTACCCCTTCTTCTCTCCATCTTCTTCTTCTTCTTCCTCCCCTGCAGCATCATCAATAGGGATAGATCTGATGATTGATTTGTAACCTTGCTCGATTTGGACGGATCTCATAAGGTTGTATTCTATCTCTGCAGATTTGAGGACTCCAATCTAGATCTAATTAAGACGAAGATCGAGATGGTGACCACTTGCTGTGGTGGCGGAGCCGCGGAGGAGCAACAATTGATGGTGGTGAGTTGAATCGGAAGGTAGGAAACTTGGATGGAGAAGCTGGAGAGAAGAGAAGGCTGTGTTTTTTTTAAAGGACTAGACAGGCTGTGTGGTGACAGGAGGATTAGCTGGAGGGTAAATTTGGAAAGCCAAGGTTATTTTCATTCCACCTAAATTTGCGCACCAAGTCAAAGCGGGAAAATTAATTATGAACGGAGGGAGTATGTTTTAGTGGTAAATTATTCTTGGAATAATCAATTTAACCGTACCATGCCAAAGCTTCAAACGGTTCTTCTCTGCCAGAAGAAAATTAGTGGACGAAGATCAATCTTCATCTCTTCAAATTCTTGAGGAAATTAAGGGGAAACAATGTCTCGTGCACTTTATCAGTTCCCTCATATGCCGAGCAAACGAAGGTAATCCTCCCAAACATAGAAATCTTCTACTTTTCTCGGTGACTCAGTGCGGCGGAGCTGATGCTCGAATTGCCACCGAACCACTTTGTCACCGACGAGTAGAAGTCCGCACAAATCAGGCGGCTTCTGTGCACTCTGGCACAGATGAAGGCTCTGTTTGGGAATAGCGTTAGAGATTAGCATTAGCGTTTTGGATAAAATTTTAACGGTGCAGATTACTTTGAAAACGCTGCCCGTTGATAGCCTTTTCAAAACGCTAACGCTAATCGCTAAAGCTATTCTCAAACAGGCCCGAAGATCTTGAGATTTCCAACGTCTACGCCCTGCTCCCAATGAAGCGGCTCTGCTCGATCGTGACCGCCTCAAATGCGGACATGTTGTTCCTTGCCGCCGATGAAGATCTCGATATTTACTATTCAACCCCTCAAATCAATTTGAAGCACCATTTCAAATCGATTATTTGAAATGTTTAGCACAAGATGACAGACGAAAGCTGTTCGGAGTAATTAGATACTCCTCTCCAATTTGATTATAAATTGTGGGTTACAGAGTAAAATTTCTTACTTTTTGAAATCATTTTATTTACAAATTTATATATCAATAAGATAAAAAATACATATTAAAAAATTACGTCAAAAGTTCTACAAAACTAGAGGTGACAAGAATATTTTATTTTATCAAATATTCAATGAAATCGCGTAAACAAACAAAAGTTATCGAGAAGAGAGAGAAAAAAATGGTAATCTATTTAGGGACGGAGAGAGTATTTAGATATATGTAAGTGGAACATAAATAAAGATATTTACAATACAATCCCTCAAATTCACGAGACAAACACAAATCTATGACGTGGATGAAACGAAGAAAAAATTCAATTAAAATGTACTATGACAATAATATCTGGTAATAATGACCTAATATGAAAAACTCTCCCAATTATAATAGACCATTCATAAAATTTACTCCAAAAATATTCTATTATAAACAACACTCATATACTATTCTATGAGAACATGCCAAAAATATTGCTTTAACACATCTTAAAAGTAGCATATATATAATAAAAAATTCTTCTAGACAGAGGTAATGTGCATTTATGTGCGGTAAGTGATCAAGGTAGTGATCAGTGGTGGCGGGTGGTGGCGTTAGGGTGGGGGAGCGGTGGCGGAAGAGCCACCACCGGCGGTTTAGACGGCTTGCATTGGTAGCACTTGGCGAAAAGACCAAATGTGTCTACTTGCTTGATGAAATTGGTGATGCTGGCCCAACCTCCGAAACCGAAGCCCACGACCATGATCCAGCCCACTATGAAGATGTTCACTACGTACATGCCCGTCCAGCTTGGCAGAAAGAACGGAGGCTTTTCCGCCGCATTCTGCAAATATCACCAAAAATAAATGAAAAGTCACACGCAAATAAAAATAGACTATACTTTTTCGTCTTGCATTTTTCATTTCGTTTGGTTATTATTGGTCAAACTTCAAAAAAAGATTATTATATTTGCTCTGTAAAATTAATATGAATAGATGATTTTTGAAATTCAAGTTTAAGATATCATTTAATTACAAAATATTTCTTCATAGTAATATGAATATTAGTGGGTAAATTTCATCAATGATATATGATTCTCCAATATTATTTTATTTTGGTGTATAAACTTTAAATGGTATCACTAAAGCACACCAGCTTTCAGTATTCTTTTACTAACAGTGCATTAACAGATTTTCAGGCCTCCACAAATGAGTCATACTTTTATGCTAAATGGACAATTTCAACATTTATTTGCTAATGGTCCCATTTCACATGGTATCGAATTGAAGCTAATTAAGGTCATTGATGTTGAGAAACAATTACTCCCTCCGTCCCCCTGTATTTGTCCACTTTCATTTTTGCACACCATCCAATGCACTTCTTTAATCCATTTTATCTTGTAATTTGTATATTAAAAAATTATAAAAATTATATATTAATAATCTATATGTTAAGACAAATCAAACAAGATCACACATGACTATATTTAGGCTTACACATTGAGAGAATTTGATGAGTCAAAGTGCTTAAATGAACAGTTCCAAAAGTCAAATGTGGACAAATATAGGGGGACGGAAGGAGTAAAAAAGAGAGGAGGCGATGGTGCTCATTTCCNTCAACATTTATTTGCTAATGGTCCCATTTCACATGGTATCGAATTGAAGCTAATTAAGGTCATTGATGTTGAGAAACAATTACTCCCTCCGTCCCCCTGTATTTGTCCACTTTCATTTTTGCACACCATCCAATGCACTTCTTTAATCCATTTTATCTTGTAATTTGTATATTAAAAAATTATAAAAATTATATATTAATAATCTATATGTTAAGACAAATCAAACAAGATCACACATGACTATATTTAGGCTTACACATTGAGAGAATTTGATGAGTCAAAGTGCTTAAATGAACAGTTCCAAAAGTCAAATGTGGACAAATATAGGGGGACGGAAGGAGTAAAAAAGAGAGGAGGCGATGGTGCTCATTTCCAAAACCAAAGGGGTCAATGAGCTATTAACCTAAAATTTAAAGATTTTTTTATTTAGAAAGGTGTCGGCGTAACTATATTAAAATTCAAAATTATAAGTACAACAATATAACTTTTGAAAGCATAAAAGAGGTCGGACACAATTATCAAATGACAGAAGTTTTGGTGCAATAAATTCTTATAGATTGTGATTAAAGAAAACCCATAGCATGGCTACTAAACAAAAAGAGTAATGCTAGAGTCACAAACAAACAGTTCACAAAATTTACAAACTTGTCTTTTTAACACTTTCTTAAAAATAAGATGCACTCAAATAATAAAAGATACTCCCTCCGTTCTCAAAAACACTTCCTCTTTCATTTTTTTCACTTCCAACAAAACATTTCCTCTTTCTATTAAAAAACCACTTTTACCCTTACTTTTTCATACCCTACCTATCACATCATACTTTTTCTCTAATAATCTATCCATCACATCTTACTTTAACCCATCACATCAGGGGCAAAATTGGAAATCAACTATAATTTAACATTTCCTTATTTTTGCCCCCAAATCAAATGGGAAGTGTTTTTCCAAACGAAGGGAGTATTTTATTTTAAAAACCACAAAAGGCAAATTACCTATAATAAAAGATTGTAAAGCTATTTTAGCCCAGTTTAATTCGGCATTGGTTTCTCATATTCCTCGGGAAGCTAATAGTATCGCTCATACACTTACTCGTAGTGCGATAACTCAATCTTCTTTGTGGAATACATCTCCCCCGAATTGTATTTCTCATTTATTGAAATGATATTGAAATTTGATTTCCTTCAAAAAAAAAAAAAAAGTACTCCGAGTACTTCGCTTTACTAGGCCTTCCTTACACTTGCCATTTTCATTGTTTAATTGGATTAGTAAAAAAAACTTCACCATTTATTCTTATATTTTTTTAAAATTGTGTAGAATTCATCTAGTTTTAAAAATTACACCAGCGACTCCTGAATGTTTAAAACATTGCATATTTCAATAGTCTATCTATGCGATAGTTGAAGTTAGTCGGACGCTTATCAATATACATGTTGGAGCTTGATGAAGATGACATGGATTAATGAAGATGTTGATTTTGAGGAAAAACTGGATCGACTCATGCCCGGGCTTCAAGTTCGATTACCGAAGTCTAAAACGAAAATAACTAAGATTTCAAGAGGTTAAAAAATATACTCCTTCCGTCCCGGAAAACATGGGAGTTTTGATTCTGAAGAGGAATTTAAGAGGAATGTATTTTGGTATTGAATTTTCAAAAATGTCCTTTGATGTGATGGGTAAAAGTATGATTTGATGGATAGATTATTAGTAAAAAGGTATGATGTGATAGGTAGGGTATGAAAAAGTAAGGGGTAAAAGTGACATTTTAATAGAAATAAGAAGTGTTTTTTGGGACGGATGAAAAAAAGGAGAAAGGTTGTCTGGAACGGAAGGAGTAGAAGATAATGCTTGGGATGAGCATATTGCAAAACTCGCATGAGATATATGATTTTAAATGAATACATACTTGTATTGAATGTGCGTGTAATTAACTCACTCTCAAATCTGGCATAGAAGAACTATTAATGCAACATTTTTCAAATGCTCAAGGGCCATTTGTGCAACTTTTAAAGTTCAATGAGGAATCGTACAATTTTTAAAGAGTTTGTGAGTAAATAGTATTAAAACTCAATTATTAACACTTCCAAATTTAAAACTATTAAGGTTTCAAAAGTTTTTTATCCGTCTATGTATAAACTTATCACATAATCTCTATCATCTCATCCACCAAATTTTAATAATTACTGTGCATTGTGAAGGATAAATTTAAAAAGTAACAAATGCTCTTCGATTTGCCTAAATCTCCATTAAATCTTCTATGTCAAGAATCCAAATGGATGGAGAGACTATTATCACATGTGTTTTTTTCCTTATGTAGCACTTTTAGTCATTATACATTAGTCATTATTCAAGTAAATATTCACCATCACAGGACATTATGAAAATTATTAAGTGTTATTTAGACAATAAAACAATTTATGTGCTATTTAGGGTAGAGAAACGACTCAAGTTTTAGTGCTATTTTGTGTAAATATTTCATTTATACTCCGTATATTGTAATTTAAAATGAATGAAATTATATTATACGGAGTATTTATATTATACTCCCTCCGTCGTAATTTGATCTTCCCACATTGACTTAAGGTCATTTTTAAGGGATGGATATTTATGGCTTTGACTTCCAAAAATACCCCTCCTTCCCACGCTGCCGGACCTGTCTTCACCAATGATGTTTTCTTGCTTGATAGCGTCTAAGATTTCCTTTTTCGTGAAGGTCAATGGCCGGAAAGAGACAAGATCCCAGCTTTCGTCTGTGAGAGACCGTTCCCGGCTCTTCTTTAAGTAAAAGAAACACGCCAAGGAAAGAAGAACGGTGATGGAGAGAGCGAACAGGGAAATCAAGATCGGGTGAATGAAACGGGAATTTTGGGATTCCGGCGAACACCTTCTGAAGAATTTGATGGTCCGGCTGCAGAGCCTTGAATTCCCGGCGAAGCTGTCGTTGTATGCATCAATTGAGAGAGAGTCCGGTATGGGACCGGAGAGGGTGTTGTTGGATAGATCGAGAAGGTTGAGCTTTATATGTGATAGACTTGCCGGGATCTCGCCGGAAAGTTGATTTCCTAACAGATCTAATGTAGTTAAAGTCGTCAGGTAATGGAGAGAGCAAGGGATGGGGCCGTTAAGAGAGTTGGAAGCCATGTTTATGTCGCTCAGAGAAACACAATCACCGAGGGATTCAAGAATTGCACCGGAAATATAGAAAAAGAGAAAAAAAAGAGAAGAGGAGACGTGGGAAGGTAGATCCAGACCAGTGAGAGAGAGACGAAGAGAAGAGGGGGAGAGAAAGGATAAGATAGTGGAAGGGTAAGATAGTCATTTCACATCATTTTTTAAGATGTGGGAAGGTAGTTTTAGGACAATGAAAATGAGGAAGTGGGAAGATAGTAATTAATATTCTTTACTCTCTTCGTCCCAAAATGAATTACCTTCTTTAATGAACGTGAAAACCTCTACACCTCCCTCGTTAAAAATAAGTTCAAAATTATTATGTGATTTTTAAAATCATTTTGTTTACAAATTGGAATAGAAATACAAAAAAAATTACATCTTTAAAATTTAAATCAAAATTTTTGCAAAACAAAGACTGACAAGAATATTTTATTTTATCAAATGATTACGAAAAGGTGCGAACAAACCAAATTTATCGAAATACTATAAGCGTAAAGAGATTAATAATTTTGGAACGCAAATATGTAGTTAAAATTTACTCCGTATAAGATTCAACAAAAAAGGTTAAATTGTGGTTCAGGAACAATTTTATATATATATATATATATATATATATATATATATATATATATATATATATATATATATATATATATTCTAACACGCCCCGTCACGTACAGGCGTAGTCTTTTTCGAGCCTTGCACGTGAATCTTAATTTTTTTTTAAACTGGGTAGCGTTGAGTTTCGAACCCGTGACCTCTTAGTCAACGAGGCTCCGATACCATGTCAAGGAACCAACTCAACCAAAAGCTCAAGCATGTAGTTGTGGCCCAAGAATGATTGTTATATACTCTAACATGGGGTGAGGTGAGATATGAATCATCGATTTCGCAAACGGAACACGGAACACTGTAGGTGTCTCAAAAAGACACCGACACCATAGCGACAACGAAACTGCCCCAAAATAGAAAATGATATCAAGTACAAATTAAACTTAGGCTTTGTTTGAAAGTAAATTTGTCAATTAGCATTAGTATTTTGGATGCTTTTTAACGATGCAAGTTAACTTAAAATACTAAAATGAAGTGCCTGTTTGGGAACAACTTTAGCGATTAGCGTTAGCGTTTTGAAAAAGCTATCTACGGGCAGCGTTTTAGCGTTAGCATTTTCAAAGTGATCTGCACCGTTAAAATTTTATCTAAAACGCTAACGCTAATCTCTAACGCTATTCCCAAACAGGCCCGAAATGTGTAGCGTTTTTAAAACTCTAAAATTAAACAGTGAAACTATTGCCTAACGAATACTTAACCAAAAACTTGTGGTTCGTTGAAGCTTCAATTTGGAAATATTTATATACTGTAACACACTCATATCACATGTATGCGAGGTCTAGCTATTTGTCTTGCACGTGAATATTTTAGTACTCTCTTCGTTCCACAAAACCCTTCCGGTTTTGACTTTGGGGAAAAATAAGGAAAGTTTAATTTTGATTGACTTTCCAATTTTGCCCCTGATGTGATAGGAAAAAGTAAGATGAGATAATTTGGTTATTAGTGAAAAAATATGATGTGATAGGTAGGGTATGAAAAAGTAGGGGTAAAAGTAGTTTTTTTTATAGAAAGTAGAAGTGTTTTGTGGGAAGCAAAAAAATGAAAGAGGAAGGGTTTTGTGGAACGGAGGGAGTGTTTTTTTTACACGGGTTGGCGGTTAAGTATGAACTCGTGATCTCTCTATTTATGTTAAAAAAGCCCATCTATGTCAAGAAAACCAACTAAATAAAACGGCGAAGTTAGTGGTTGTAATTAAGCCAGAAAAGATTTTATATACCGTAATACTATCTCCGTTTCTCAAAAGAGTTCCTCTTTTGACTTTGGGAGAAAATAAGTAAGTGCTAAATTGTAATTGACTTTCTAATTTTGTCCTTGATGTGATTAGTAAAAATAAGATGTGATAGTTTAGTTGTTAGTGAAAAAGTATGATCTGATAGGTAGGGTATGAAAAAGTAGGAGTAAAAGTGGTTTTTTAATAGAAAGGGGAAGTGTTTAGAAAAACAAAAAAATGAAAGAGGAAGGGTTTTAAGAAACGGAGGGAGTAATTAATATACGTACCTGACGAGCCGAATGGGTACGAAAGGTGAGGATATGAGCGAGGGAGGGGATGATGTAGACGGTGAAGGTAACAAGAAGCGCGCCAACTGCGGAGTTTATAGGGCCAAAGAAGGGGAAAATAATGGCCAAGAACCATATGGGTATCACCACTGGTAACCTCGCCACTGCCCTTAGAAATATGCTTCTCGTCCCGTGCATCCCTATCATCTTCTCCCACACAAAGTACAAAGGCATTGATGCGAATCCAAATGTTATGAACTGCATGCATATATCCACATTCCTTCATTAAATAAATATAATGAAGGAGATAATAATAAACTATTTAAGTGGAATGATTAGTGGTGATGATGACCTGGTGGATGAGCATTAGGATGACGGCAGTGTCGCGCCAGCCGGATTTGGGGAGGAGGGCAAAGGCGTTGGAGTGGTCGAGAAGCTGGTCGCCGAATGCCCAATAGACGGCGGTGGCCGAGGGAATGGTGAGGGTGAACACATAGAGGGTGGCATACAAGTATATGTATTTGAACTTCCGCGGCTTCCACATCGCATGCATAATTTCTCTGTAATACAATTTGATAATAATGTGAAATTTGCACTAAATAGGACTAAAACATAATGACTTTTCTAATGTAGAATTTAAACTTTTTTATTCTCTAAATAGGACTTAAAAATGACATTGTGAGAGGAACAATGTCAAGTAATGATGGATATTTACTTGAATAATGACTACTTGATAATGACCAAAAGTCCTACATTAAGAAATAAAAACATATGGTCCTATTTTGGAAAAGTCATTATGTTTTAGTCCTATTTAGGCAAATTACTCTTTGATAATATATGATGAGTTTATCAAATATTACCTCCGTGGCTCCGTCCCTGAGTATTTGTCCAGTTTTGACTTCTTTCGATCAACTATTTTTATTAATAAGAGTGCTTCTTTGGTGCACCTTGGGTGCACACCATTTTTGTAGACCTTCTCATACAAAATTCCACAAATACTTTATGCAAAGTAAAAATGTTCCACACTTCTTTTCTCATGTGTCAAATCCGGCCACAACACTCTTTTGTTTTTGTTAGACAATAATACTCCTTCTTCCCCCTAAAATGTTCTCGTTTTGATTTTTTGTGGTTTTTATAAAGTGTTGAAAAAAGTGAAAGTTTACCAAGATACTTTTAATAAAAAAGAATGGAGTATACTCCCTCCGTCCCGTGAAACATGAGAGTTTTGCTTTTTAGGAGGGATCTAAGGGGAGTGTATTTTGGTATTGAATTTCCAAAAAGTCCTTTGATGTGATGTGTAAAAGTATGATTTGATGGATAAATTATTAGTAAAAAGATATGATGTGATAGTTAGAGTATGAAAAAGTAAGAGGTAAAAGTGACTTTTAAATAGAAATGAGAAGTATTTTGTGGGACGGATAAAAAAGAAAGAAAAAAGGTTTTATGGCACGGAGGGAGTATTAAATAAGGTGGGGGTGGGTGAGGCCGTGAGGTACAATAAGTGAGGATAGCTGTGATATTTTAAATTTTAAAAAAGATAATGGAAAGCTCTATATAAAACAAATAAAAATTGCTAATGGAATTATCTATAGGGGACGGACGGTGTAATAATATTAGTAGTACTGGTTATGGTAGCGTTTGTTTAATCAACTTCTATAATTGGGTTGAATCATACTTGTGTTAGAACTTCTTTCTATATATACTTTATTGTATCATCCATTATTTTAAAATAAACTTATTATTTTATTATTTTAACAAGACCCTTAATTGATCACTAGAGTCACGCCCAGGCACAATGCTTTACATTTTTTAAGAAGAGTGTATTCAGTACAGATTTTAAAAGATTTTAATAGATTATGTAAAATTCGTAGATTATGTAAAATTCGTAGATTGTTTTAAGTCTACACAGAATTAGATAGATTTTCATGTATTTTATCATTAGAATTTTATAAGATTGAATTTTATAAGATTTTGTCGGATTGTTTATAATCTAAGCTCAAACAAACATCAATCATATTGAAAGTGGAGTCGTCAATTTAGGATGCGTTCCGTTCGCCTGATCTGATCTGACCTGAATTTGTCGATCTGATTTCGATTAAAATAAACCTATTTCTGATGTGATCTAATTTCGGTTATAATTAAACTTATTTCAGATCTACTCTGATCTGATTATAATAAAAATAAGTAATAAACCAAAAAATAAATTGAAGGAAATGTTGGCTTGAATCTTTCCCCCTCCCCAACAAATAAATTGTTCCCCGACCTTAGCTCTCGAACCACTACTCTGGGTCAGACTTGGAATTCGGTGGAATGGAGCTCCCGACGGCATTTTGAGCACCGGCGCTTCCTCCGGCAATTTCCGCCAGTCCTCATGTTTGGGAGATTAATTGTCCTAAAAAGAAGAGGAGCGCGAGTGTGGCGATTGTTAGAGTTAGAGGGCCGCGACGATAACGAGGACACGCGACGGTGATGCCGTGGATGGCGGCGCAGTTGGGGATAAATATTAGTTCTTCTAGTGCTGGAAGCCTAAATATAGTCATGTGTGATTTTGTTTGATTTGTCTTAACATATAGATTATTAATATATAATTTCTTTATTAATATATAATTTCTAGAATTTTTTAATATACAAATTACAATATAAAATGGATTAAAGAAGTGCATTGGATGGTGTGTAAAAATGAAAGTGGACAAATACACTGAGACGAAGGTAGTAATGACTTTTCCTAAATAGCATCACATGTATTTTTTTCTAATGTAACACTTTTAGTCATCATTCAAGAAAATGTTTGTCATTACTAGACATTATGGACATTATTAAATGTTGTTTAAGAAATAATAGAATTTAAGTGTTATCCTTTGACACTGAGCAACGCCGACCCATTATATATACTCCCTCCGTCCCTAAATAGATTACAATTTTTTTTCTCTTCTCTCGATAACTTTTGTTTATTTACGTCATTTCATTAAGTATTTGATAAAATAAAATATTCTTGTCACCTCTTGTTTTGTAGAATTTTGACGTAGTTTTTTAATATGTAATTTTTATATCTTATTGATATACCAATTTGTAAATGAAATGATTTCAAAAAGTAAGAAATTTTAATCAGTAATCCCCAATTTGTAATCAAATTGGGGACGGGGGGAGTAACATTTTTCATGACATAAAAGTTTAAGATGATTTCTAACTCTACCTTGAATAAGTTACGGGCTAACTTTTTATTTTTTTTCCTTCTCATACCGGTACTATATTCAAAAGTTTTAACTTTAGAAAAAGAATGAATAGAAAAAACTTCATATACCCATCTACGGTTTTCATTTTTTCTCGATCATGTGGAGCCCACATTTTGGAAAATGATATGCGGAGTTGAACGATGATAAAAGATACTCCGGAATGGCTTATCGTTTGGTCGGAGTTGAACTTTGGCTTTTTATTTTAATTTGGTTTGAACTCATAAAATATTTTATACCCTAGAAATAATATCTAATGTATTTTAATATGTTAATGAATTAATTCAACTAAAAGTTTAAAATTTAATTGTAGCCTAGTAATGTTTTTTTATTTTCTAACACGTCTTCGTGCATGCGTTGTCTTTTCGAGTATTGCACGTGTAATCTTAAATTTTATTTCAAACTGGTTGGCGGTGAGTTTCAAATTTGTGACCTCCTGATCATCAATGCACCGATATCATGTCAAAGAACCTATTCAACCAAAAGCTCGATCAAACTTATGGTTGTGGTCCAAAAATGATTTTTTATATTCTAACACAACACTAACTTACGGCTTGTTCGTTTTGTTAAAATTTTAGATTTGATATTCGAAGAAACTAGGAGGAGTTAAGAAAAACTGGGAAGAGTTATAAAATGTTGGGAAAAAATTAATTATTAAAAAATCATTTAATTAAATTATCACCTAAATAAATATGTAAAAAATCTAATTTAACATTTAAAAAATACATCTTTTCTGTGTTTGAGGTAATATCTTATAAGTTTAGATGTATGTCATTATCGTATATTTATCATATGTAAATAATACTTTTAAGTCGTTCTAAGAGAAAAAAAAATTTAGAAGTTTATTTTTCCAACAAGTAAATAACTTACACGGTGACTGCATGACCCCCGAAGGTGTAGAGGATGTTGGTGGCTCCCGTAAAATACCATACAAGCTTTGTTGGAGCAGAGTGCGTGACACCTTCCACCTAACAAACAAACAATAATTAAATTTCTAAAATATGAATTAATTTCATCTACATATATAACTTATACTTCTTGTCTCGCAGACGAAGAAGCTATTCTAAATATGATTAATCCATCGCATAATTATATTTTACCTTATTGCAAAGTATTTGAAAATTTTAAAAATTATACTCCGTATCAAAATTATACATTTTCGTCTTTAAAAAAGTTTTATGGGACGGATCAAAGAAAACTCCAAGTTTTTTTCAATCTGTTTTATTTAAATATTTATAAAAACTAAAAAATAAAACTTACATATTTAAAAAAATATTTAAATATGTATATTAAAAGTTCAACAAAATAGGTGGTGACAAAAATTACTACCTCCGTCCCGCTATATTTGTCCACTTTTGACTTTTGGAACGGTTAATCTAAGTACTTTGACTCATCAAATTCTCTCAATGTGTAAGCCTAAATATAGTCATGTGTGATCTTGTTTGATTTATCTTAACATATAGATTATTAATATATAATTTCTATAATTTTTTAATATACAAATTACAAGATAAAATAGAATAAAGAAGTGTATTGGATGATGTGCAAAAATGAAAGTGGACAAATACTTTGGGACGGAGGGAGTATTTTATTTTATCATATAGGACTATAGGTCATGAAAAAATGCAAATAAATTGCGCTTTGAGAAAAGAATATGGGAGGGAGTGAGTATTTACTTGTCCGTGGAGAATAGCGGCAACGGCGAGGTACCAAGCGGTGTAAGTGGTCATGCCGAGGCCTAAAAAGGACCAAATCCGGAAATTGTGGAAAGAAGGAATGAAAACAGTGGTGGCACAGCAAGCCCCAAAAATGTAAGTCCACGTCCTCTTGTCCAGCCGGTCGTTTATGTAGTAAATGTTGCTGGCGCAGGCTATGAGCTGAATCACCGACCCGAACAACAGAAACGTGCAGTTGAACACTAGCCCCACCCCCTTCCAGTACCCTCCCAGCAACCCGTCCAACACCTCGAACCACTGGTAATATATATTAATAATAACATTATAATAACACTATATATAAGGTTAGGTTGTTGGACTTCAATAATGTCACGTGAACCGGCGCGTTTTTACTGACCTGAATGACGTGGTTGTTGAAGCTGACGCCCTCCTTCTCCTTTCGGGTTCTGTACTCGACGTACAGGACGCTTATGAGGTACGCGGTCCAGCTCCCGACCAGACCGTAGAATACCTGGAAGGCTATGCCGGACGCCATTCCCAGCTGGGAGAAAGAGTAGGGCAGTGTCAGTAGGACCTGTGCCACCTGAAATAAAACATACCCCATTTGTACACTAAGCCAAAAACAGACACACACTATCTATGTGTCTGTGCACCGGGTGCACGCGACACTTGAGAATCGAACTCGTGACTTTCTGAGAGATAATTTTAATCAAGTGATTACTTGGTTGGAAGCACAGCTGAACCAAGCATCCCAGGCAGAGCCACCGTTCCAGAGGAAGTTCTTGACACTGAAAACTTCTTCGCCAGCCGCGTCGCCGCCTTCCTCCGGCACCGCTTCGGCGGCTATTATGGGCTCTTCTGCTTGCTTCTCCCCCGCCATTGTTCTACCCGGCTAGCTTATTTCTATTTTCAGGCAGATCTGGAACAAAAAGGTTCTCTTTTGTTTATTAACAAAAGACCCAGATCCAAAACAGCCGCCCGAGAAAAGAGGCGGAACAGATTAAGAAAAAAGCATTTCACAGATATGGATCGATCGACCTTGTTCTGGAGATCTGTACTTGAAGTGGCAGAGAAAGAGAAAAACCAATTCTTTACTTGCTACCATTTAATTTGTAGCCCATACAGAGAATAGAAGCCATTTTATTTATATCTGTAAAGGCTAAGATTTTCAATTTAAAAAAATTGAAGAAAAAATGAAATTATACCGTTGAAATGAGATAAATAATGAAATATCATTGGATACTTGTTTTCAAAAAGAAATTTGAAGAAATTGAATTCAGAACAAAAAACCCCACTTTACTTGAGATAGGGAGAGTCAACACGCACATGCAAACTTGTTAGACTATATGTCATGTGTGTATATACTCGTAGTAGGGGTGGCAATCGGATCAACCGGATCGGTTTCGGATTGGATTTTTTCGGTTCGGATATCTTTCGGTTATATGTTATAATCTGTCGGTTCGATTCGGATCAGTTAAATTTCGATTCGGATTTGATTTCGATTCTATTCATTTTTCGGTTCGGTTCGGTTTCAATTTGCTAACACTAACATTTAATTTTATTGACTAATATTGAGTGAATTGGTTTGAAACTAATCAAATTAACTCTCAAATCAATAAAATTTATTGTAATGAGATGAAATTAGGATAAAATCTAATTATTTCATACAATTCATCATATATATATTCTTTTCGTCCCAGAAAGAATATCACACTTCATTATTTAAAAATTACGGAAATTTTATTTGTTNGATAAAATCTAATTATTCCATACAATTCATCATATATATATTCCTTTCGTCCCAAAAAGAATATCACACTTCACTATTTAAAAATTACGGAAATTTTATTTGTTTGTGCGTTATCATTTATATGTATAACTTATCTTTAATTTCTACATATAATAAATTTAAGGCATAAAAATTTGTACTTTTTTTCAAGAAGATAATCCATTTTATGAGGGAATGAGCAAGTAATGTAACTAGTTCAAATGGTAAAATAAAAGTAAAAATTTAAAAATATAATATGTTTATTGAAAGGTAACATAGTTCTGAATTTATCGATTTTAGTTCTAATCGAGTTAGGATATTATCGGGTTCAGATCTAATCGGTTTCGGATTTTATCGGTTTCTGGTATTATCGGGTCCGGATCTAATCGGTTTCGGGTTTAATCGGTTCGGATATTATCGGTTTCGGATCTAATTGGTTTCAGATTTAAATCGGATATGAATTATTTAATTCGGTTTCGGTTCGTTTCGGATCATTTCGGGCTTTCGGTTATAGATCGGATCTTCATTTTTCGGATCATTCCAGTTTCGGTTTCGGATATTTCGGTTCGGGTAATCGGTTCCTGTTCTGTTTTGCCAGGTCTACTCGTAGTTGATTCGGATGCCGTGTGGGGCAAATTATTTGGAGAATTGTATGTGTCCTCCCCTTATTTTTCAAGTCTTTCTTTAAGCTCTTTAAAAAAAAGTCTTTCTTTAACCTTTTTTAAAAAAACCATATCATTGTATACCAAGAAATGTACTCCAAATATTCAAAGAGATGTACAACATTTTAGAAATTTACATTGACACAAAATACTAGTTAAAACAAAAAAAAGTTGTACTAACATTTTGTGTTAATGTAAATCATTACTTTAGTGTTACAGAAGTATAAAATGTTGGTGCATCATTTTGGGTACAAAGTAAAGTATACTTTTTGGGGTACAAATAGCTTTTAAAATGTGATGTTATTAATTTGGGAAAATAAATCACCCTACGTAGCACTCTAAGTCATTCAATATTACGCATATAGCACTCCTTAATCTTTTATACGAATTTAGCTATTTATAGTGTCAATATCTTCCAAGCATACCCTCTGATCTACCTTTTATTATATTCTATTATTTTAAATTACTTTTAATTATTTGATTAAACTTAGGTTATTCACGTAGTCACTCCTCCTCATACGTGCGGCTCCTCCTCATTCATGCGTCCCATACGTGAGAGTATAGAATTTATACATGTAAATACTACCACATAAATCAATGAACATTACGTACACTCCAACATGAAATTAAGGAACACAATAATATATTTACACACTGCCGTAATTAAGATATAACAACATATATTCATTCTACACTGCCACATTAAATACTAACATATAAAAAATCACACTGTCCACTACACAGTTACAAGTGAACAACCACACTGCCCAATGAAGTCATATTTTTTGGCAGTGTGTAACGAACATTTGTTGTTTAATTAAAGGACAAAATCGGAATCACAGGTACGAAACATATAGCACCGCCATTTAGAGTATTTTAAGGCTCTAAGAGTGCTATTTTGGTTTCTCTTCCAAAATTACAAATTTTTTGGAATATTATTGTGATTTTTTCCAAAAAAAGAAAAAATCATTCTAGATATGAATGAAACATAGAAAAAATACCAAAAAAATTTTATGTTTTTATTTTTTAAAGAGGAGTTCCCACTATAATAATGTGACACATACATATGCATTTTATTTTATTTCTTGACAATTTACAAGGTCATGGTTGGTGATGTAAATGCGTTTTACTACTATTTCCAAAATAAAAATACAGAATTTCTATTTTAATACTCCCTCTGTCCCCAATTTGATTACAAATTGCGGGTTACGGAGTAAAATTTCCTACTTTTTGAAATCATTTTATTTAGAAATTGGTATATCAATAAGATATAAAAATTAAATATTAAAAAACTACGTCAAAAGTTCTACAAAACAAGATGTGACAAGAATATTTTATTTTATCAAATACTTAATGAAATCGCGTAAACAAACAAAAGTTATCGAGATGAGAGAGAAAAAAAATTGTAATCTATTTAAGGGACGGAGGAGGTATATTTTTACGGAGTAATATTTTACTTTTATTTTAGTACGGAGTATTATTCATGGATGAAAAATTCTTCTATGAGGTCTATCTCGCCGTTTTCGTCTCTTCCCCTGCCAGATTTCTCTCCCATCTCCCTCTTTCTCGCATCTCTACCCGTCTCTATCCCTCTGATCTCTCTTCCCTTTACGGCGCTGATTTCTCACTTGTGCGTTCCATGCCGATCATCTGCTACACGACCCGAATCGACTTCGAACGATTTTGCTAGGGTTCGAGGTTTTCGCTCTATGGTTTTGTTTCCAGGTGATACAAACTACTTTAATTAATGGACTTCTATTAGAGTTCTCGATGATTCTGCTCGAGTTTAAATACTACTCAAATTTCGTTGGTTTCTTGCTCATTCTTTTAAATAATTGCTATGTTCGTTCTTGCCATGTTTTTGGTTTATTCCGACCTATTTTTCTCCTGGAGTTTTGGTTTGGGCATTTTATTTTTAGAGGTGTTGTATCCGGTTCATACATTTTATTGTTTCCATATTCATTTGAATTGTTAACAATGTCAACTTTGAATGAAATGGTTTTAATTTATTGTGTTTTCAGAAGATTTATTACATCTCGGCTATAGTTGAAATGCTCTTCTCATTCTAAGGACAGAGTCTCCAGTGTACTCGTGTTGTCGTCTACGACATATTGGTCGGATAATCGGAGGTATGTATCTCTATTTTCTGAACTGAATGTTTATATAGGAGTACAAGCTGAGGGAGGAGAAGAATCGTAACCCCCGGTACTATACACGGTTCTAGAGAAATTGCTACACTTAGATTTGTTGTTTTATTATGTAACACACATACTTGAAATTGCCACCGTGAAAACAAACTGTTAAACAGAGTGAAAATATGTCCATTACTTTTCCTGTATAATTTTTTTACTTATTAGAATATGAATTGTGAGTATGAACTATGAATACCCCTTTTACTTCTTCCTTATTCAAAAAAAATATTTCTCCTTTGGTAAATATTTTGCTTCCAAAACTCAAGATTCAAATGATATACAGATCATGACTAACCCGATTAAACTCATTCAATTTTTTTATTTTTTCTCATTAAAACACAAAGAAGCAATATTTAGTCCAGCATAACTTTTATATGTTACAAATTTGCTCTAAACAACTGTGTGAAAGAGTTTTAGAATATCACACCTAGGTTTGTTTTATAATTTTAACACACATCCTGCGAAGCTGGGTAGTATACTTTTACAGATGTTGACAAGGGAGTCCATTAGTTCATCACTTTTCCTAATAACACATTTCATTCTCCAGTTTAGCTTGACTTCACCTGATGTGAGACTACAATTCACTTTTCAACGTTGTGGCTTGCCATTGACTGTTGGTTATGCATTCACAATTAATACGAGCTAAGGGCATTCTTTAGAAAGAGTTGGAATCTCTTTGTGTTGTTTGGTGTTTACTCATGGGTAACTTAATGTAGCGGTATCCAGGAAAACATGCCCATAGGGGTTGTAAATTGTAATCCATGATACATGACAACGAGTCGATCAAGTAACTCCGTTGTAAATGTTGGTTGTGTACAAGGAGCTTTTTGAAAATTTTGTAATCTTCTAGTATTATTGATATCTACATTTACGACGGAGTTATCTACGGAGTATTTATCTACATTCTGGTATTGATACCTTTTCGGATTTCCTTAGCTTGACTTGTCCAAAATTGACCTTTGTGTGCCTTTTTTAGGGGTTCAGAGAAATATCAATGATGGGAAGCGATTCAACATGGGTGGGACGGAAACCAGTGAGACGCCTGGGTGGGATGTCGGATGCTCTTTCCATTGCAGCTGATCTGGGCTTCTCGGTCTCTCCCCCTCCCTCACAGGAAGAGATCCAATGTTTTTCCAGTGGCTCTGGTGAAAAGAGTGATGACTTGGTAAGGGTGCTGAAGGAGCTCACTGCTGTCCAAAGAAAAATTGCAGACCTGCAAGTGGAGCTTCAGGGCAGAAAGGAGGATAAGAACATTGCCCATCTAACACATGTTAGTGAAATGGAGAAGAAGACCGAGACTCTGGCGAGAATCACCACCATTCTGAAAGATGTGATTCAGAACAAGGACCGCATAATTGCTCGGCTTCAGCAACCATATTCATTGGATTGCATACCAGTGGAAGCAGAGTATCAGAAACAGTTTTCTGAGCTACTGATGAGGGCGGCTAGCGACTACAGTGCATTGACCACATCTGCAGCCGACTTCCATTGGAGCCAAAGTTTCAAAGACCCGCCAACGACATGGGCAGAAATGCTTCGTCCTATCCCTGTCGCATTGGCTTCCTGCACCAGATTCTTTGAAGCCATGTCTGCAATGAGGGAGTCATTTTCTACACTTCAAGCTTTAAGAGCCGGCCCTCTTTCCTCCAGTGCAACACCAAACAAGGCTCCTTCTCAAAGAGAACCTTGGAAAGATTCACATTGTGTGACTCCACCATTGAGAACGGAAACCAGTTTTGATGATTTGGCCATTAAAAGCCAAGGGCAAGAAAATGAACAAGTTACAAAGGGCAGGGAACATGGTGGTGGTGGCGTTGAAAGCCGTAGACTATCATGGCCTACTCCGGTTAAAAAATACTCCGAGTTTTAATAATTAACAACGATACTCCTAGAATTTTCGTATGTTTACACCACTGCTCCAACATTCTTGACGTACTTTTACATTGATGCATCCAAAATTTGGAGCAGAGATAAACATCTACTCCGGGTATAAATTATTGGAACAACCGAACAACAATGTAAACATATGAAAAATATTGGGATTATCGATGTCATTTATTGAACCTCAAAGTATTTATGTAAAATTGTGCAAATTTGGGAGTAATGATGTGGTTTTTTTTCTGAAAAAGTTTGGTATGTAGCTAGTCATGATTATGTTGCATAAACCAGGCTAGAATGCCTAAAATATGAAATTTACCATTGTGTGCATGATAGTGTGATATTACGCTCGGAATCCCTTAGTCAGGGAGCTAGACGAATTGTATGCTTTGTGATTTGCAAATGGGTTACCATCATCCCTTAGAAAGTTGGTTGGAGTTTCACAGGGAATACGTTGAAATAGTCTGATTCAAAGGTGTCTGTGACAGTTTTGGTTTATTTGATACTGATTCTGACACGGTTCATAAGGTAACAACACATACATAACCTACCACTATGGCTCTCCCTTTTCTTTCATACGCTCGTCCTCAGACTTAGATGAGATAATTCTAAAAGAAATTTATTAACGTAAAAAAAGATTTATTTTGCGGGAGCTAATAGTCAAATACTCTTTTTTGACAAGGGAAAGGTGGTCATCCTTTATTTGGAGATAGGATAGGTGGTCATCCTTGATTTGATTTATTCATTTAAATTTTAACCAAACATTTTAAATCAAAATGAGCTTTTAAATCAAAATGAGCTTCAAAACGACGTCCCAAAAAAAGATTTTCTTTTCCATTTTTGAAAATCTTGTAGTGAAGTCACAATCTTTCGCTCTTCAGCATTATTTTCAACTATAAAATTTTATTTTTCTTAAAATCTGTGTCAAACCAAATAAGGAACCTTATTTTTGCACGGAAAGAGTATTACTCAATTTCGTATATTATTTATATTTATATTTTCAGAGATTATTCAATTTAAAATTAAAACAATCAAATTCATTATATTAACCTAGGCATCCCTTCAACCTAGACGACTCCGACGATGAGGGCCCTATTCCACTACCGATCGGGTTCGGCAGGGTCTGACTCTGTTTCTTCTCACGTCGGTAACAACCGGGCAATGGTTGAACAACTTCGAGTGTTCAATATAAGTGAAGAAGAGAAGGAGAAAAAAAGGCAAGAAAAGAAAGCGATCGAAATAATGCAAACCGACCTTGATACGTTAACATGCTTCAAACATCATATGCTTTACGAGAGAAGACAAAAAGAGATCAAGACTAAATACAATTTGCCTTAGTTTTTTATTAATGTATTTTTTTTAGAAAATGTTTTTTAATGTAATTTTTTATTTAATGAATTATTGTTGTTTAAGTTTAATTAATTAATGAAGTTTTATTATTTTAGCTTTACAAAATGTGTATTAAAAATGTAAAAAATAAAGATTTGAAGCTTCAATATGAAGCACTGAGACTTCAAATCCATTTCTAGAGAAGCTATGATGTAAGCTAAAATTAATGTGGCGGAGAGAAATTTTGAAGTCCCAAAACTCCAAGAGTATATCAAGTGTTCTGACAAAACCACATACCAAAAACTATTTTTTCTAGAAAAAACATTCTTTTCCACTTCACCTAGCTAGGAGGCTAAAACACAATCTCAAATTCTCCACTACCCATTTACCCCCACTATGGTTAAGAGTTTCGTGTTGTGGATTTCATAATGTCCGCCACAATCTCAACAACTCAATTGTGGTGTTCATAACATTAAAATTGTTGCTCTCTCCATTTTGTTATATCGATCTATTATTTGAGTTTATCATATTTTGTACTACCTCCGTCCCACAAAAAAGTTCCCATTTTGACCATAATTTGGTCAAACTATAGCACACTTTGACTTTAAATTAAATATAATATAAATAAAGAAATGCTTAAAAAATTTGAGATATCAAAACTAGATCCTAAGATGAATCCAATTATATAAAATTTATTTCATAATTCAATATACTTTTCTCACAATTTGTAGTCAAAGCGTTTAAATATTTGACTAAATACTATTCAAAATGGGAACTTTTTTGTGGGACGGAGGGAGTATGTATTAACCACAAAATTAACGGAAGGACCAATCATGCAATGCTAACGTGACTTCAAGAACTTTTCATGAAATTTTTGAAGTTGAAGGAACAATCATGCAACGCTAACATAACTTGAAGGACTTTTTTTGAAAATTTTAAAATTGAAGGACTAACCATATATGACGCAATAGCTTGAAGGACTAATGGTGAAATTTTGCCTAGTAATAATAATAATAATAGTAATAGTAGTAGTAGTAGTAGTAGTAGTAGTAGTAGTAGTAGTAGTAGTAATAATAATAATAATAATAATAATAATAATAATAATAATAATAATAATACTAATACTAATAATAATAATAATAATACTAATAATAATAATAATAATAATAATAATAATAATAATAATCATCATCATCATCATCATCATAACCCCAATGATAATAACAATTCAGTATAATCCAAACTTTGACCATGTATGTCTAGTTTACCTCTATTCTTTATTAACTAGTTTGTGGATTTCAATTCTCATACCCTTGAAAAATAAGTAAATATAAATATAAAATTTTTTTACATTCATTCATATTTTAATATAGGGGTATCATAACTCATAATCCACAATTACTAGAGATAGAAAAAGTATTTGGTACTCCCTACGGTTCTAATAACATTTCTTGTTTTAATTTTTTTGGTCAAACAATGACATTTTTACTACAAGTTAAACATAATATAAATAAATAAATAATATAAAAATTTGATATATCAAAACTAGTTATATCCTAAGATGAACCTAATTATATTAAATATTAGTTATAATTAAATATACCTTTTTCACAATTTATGATGAAAGAGTATTACTATTTATCAAAAAATCAAAACAAATTTTTTTTTTAAAGACTGAAGTGAGTATTACCAATACACACTATTTAAACCCGCAATAATCATACGGTGCGCCATGCAATTTCTGCCAATTTGGGCCTTTTGAGACTTAATAAATAAACAAGACGAGTGGGTTGTTGAGATGGTGGCAGACAGTATAAAAACCCACAAAAGCGAAATTCTAGCAGTGGGCTTTTGATGTACATATCTCACTAAAGTTGAAAATTGAGTTATTTATGTCAAGTCAATGGTAGAAAACAGTTACTCCATCTCTCCCCAATTTTATTACAAGTTGCGGGTTACGAGAAAAAAAAATTACGTTTTAAAATCATTTTATTTACAAATTGGTATATCAATAAGAAATAAAAATTACATATTAAAAAACTACATCAAAAGTTGTAGAAAACTAGAGGTGACAAGAATATTTTATTTTATCTAATACTTAATAAATTGTGTAAATAAACAAAAGTTATCGAGAGGAGCAAAAGAAAAAAAATTGTGATCAAAATAGGGACAAGGAGTAGTTTTTAGAGAACAATTGTGTTTTGGTAGGTGGTTGAACAAACTGTTGCAATGAAGAAGAAACTAATTTCATTTATCTTTCATTTTGATTTTATTCTCATTCTCTAAAAATTGTGTTTCTTGTTAAGTGGACAATAAGATTTGAAGTGAAAGGTATGCTAGGTATACACTACATTGTCCTATACTACTTGTATTCCAGTGTGTTACAGATATACACAAATAATATTTGTCACTGTACATATAGATAATTGTTGTCTGTGAATTGTCAAGTCGCCATGATTTTTTTTCCAGACAAAAATTTTTGTTTTTCTCATTAACAATAAATATTTCAATTTAAGTTTTTATATATTCTCCTATTAGTTTTCGGCCGTTGCATTACATGTTCTAATAATCTTTTTCCCAAATTAAGTTCTCTTCTTTTGGATACAAATTTTAGAGTTGGGCTTTGGAAGAAACTGGAAGAAGTTGGAAAAAAATGGAAGTAGTTGGAAAATGTTGGAAGAATTAAAGTGTTAAAAAGTCACTCAATTAAATGATCACACAAATAAATATGCAGGAAAATTCCAATTTGGAATAAAAAAGAATTCATCCTTCTCCATGTTTGAGGTGGAATGTTATAAATTTGGATATATAATACTACGTATTATTCTATGTTCATCATATATTAATACCTTTGTTTAAGTTGTTGTTGGAAGAAACTAGGAGTTGAAAAGTTGAAAGTTAATTTCGCCAACTTAAAAGAACATGACCTTAATGTGTGAGACGAAAGATAATTCAAATGTTTAAGATCTAACATTCGAAATTTCGAATATATGCATTCTTCTGCAAAGGGTCAGGTCCTGATGGTTATCTCTCGCCTCTTTTCCCCTTGGATCTTGCTAACTAGGTGACGCACCCCCGAATCCCCGCTTTAAAATTTGTATTATTGTAGAGCACATATACACTCCACACGGTCAAACTTGCTAACAAGGTGTATTAAAATTATCGGTTGATCCAAGTAACTTTAATTACATAAATAGCTAATGACACTACAAATCACCAACATTTTGTTTAACTATATCTTGGGGTTAATTAAGAATTATTTATTCGTAAATTTTAATTCATTTTGGACCCGCACAATGGTCATTATCTTGGAGTTTCTTAATTTGGGCCCCGAAAGAGACGTGGTCCTAAACCAAATGGGCTTTTACAATGCATTTTAGCTTGTTTTTTTTAATTTCGCTCTTTGAGCATATATGTGTTTCGTCCGAAATGAAAATTTTGATCCACATTAAAATCCAAATCATCGAAGTGATCGAACATTTTTAAGAAGCACGGGCTACAAATCCATATGTTTAATCGCCAATTACTCCCTCCGTCCGGAAATGTTCTTCCCATGTTGACTTGGCATGCTTATTAAGGAAGAGTAAAAAAATGCAAAATTTTCAAAAATGCACATACTATAAACTTTTAAATCTCCTTTTATTATTAAAAAAGTACTAAAAAAGTATATTTTTGATAAAATAGAAGGGTATTATCGATATTTAGCCTTAAAAAGTATACTAAAAATGGAAATAGGAAGAATATTTCCGGACGGAGAGAGTACATATTTCCTCTTTTTTCCCATAATTTTTTGCGCCCTTACTTTTTTTAAATGTTTCACAAAAAACATTATACTTTAATTCTTATTTTGAAATTATTAAGGAATCAACTCAATTAAAAATCAAAATTTATAGTTGTATATTCAGAAAGAATTTATACTCTAACACGCCGCCTTAGACGTGCAAAC